ACCTTTTGTCAAGACTTAGGTCTCCCCACGATTCCATGGTATCACCAGATTGCCAATCCCCACCACCAGAAACCCCTCAAAAGTGTCACTGGATGTTGGTTGAGTACACACATTCCGAATCTCCTGAACCTTGGTCCAATCCAGTGGTTCCTCTTCATCCCCACTACTCCCAGACCCATCATTCCCAGAAAAAGCCCATGAAATCCTCTTCCTCAGTGGGAGCAGTAAGTATGTCCCGAATCTTCTTTCTCTGCCGCTCCTCGTCTGACTCCTGCTCTTAAGTAATCCTCTTAATGCCTCTATTCCAGTGGTTCTCAACCTGGGGTCCCCAGATGTTTTTGACCTACAACTCCCAGAAATCCCAGCCAGTTTACCAGCTGAGGATTTCTGGGAGTTGAAGGCCAAAACATCTGGTAACCCTCTTAATGCCTCTATTCCCATCTGAATCTCCTTCCTCCTCCTCACTCATTTCACTCTCGGAGAAACCTTCAAAGGATTCTTCATCAGTGGGTGACATAAGTATCTCCTGGATTCTCTTCCTTTGCTGCTCCTCATCTAACACCTGGGTGCCTCGTTTCCCTCCTCTACCACTCCTACTACCAGTTGCAGCATTGCCAACAGACTCTACTACAACACAGTCCCTCAAACTGTTGGAGGGCCAGATTATAATTTGAAAAAATCATGAATGAATTCCTATGCACACTGCACATATCTTATTTGTAGAGCAAAAAACACCTTAAAACAATACAATAATTAAAATGAAGAACAATTTTAACAAATATAAACTTATTAGTATTTCAATGGGAAGTGTGGGCCTGCTTTTGGCTGATGAGATAGGATTGTTGTTGTTGTTGTGTGCTTTCAAGTCATTTTAGACTTAGGTTGACCCTGAGCGAGGGCTGGGTAAATGACCTTGGAGGGCGTATCCGGCCCCTGGGCCTTAGTTTGAGGACCCCTGGTTTAAAGGAATGGAAAATTTGTTGGTCTCTTCAAACTGTAGGCACCTTTTGAAATACTTACTATTCTATTCTAAGGGCTCCTGTGACTGACAATCTCTTAGGCAAATTCAAAACTGAGTCTTGGATATTTTTAGTAGTACACCAATATCAGTTTTTGAATGCATTTTCAACCATTTGTTCCAACAGGGAGAAAATTGTGTCCCTTGATTGTCCCTTAAACTACAATTTCAAGGTGTCCTTCCTTCCTACTTTTTAAATCTCTGAATGTATTGCCTTTGGAATCAGTATGTTCTCTCCTTAGAATATGATGCCATTTTCTATAGATAGAACAGCTCCACCATTCCAAATATGTTAGTGCTAGCAACTAGCTCTCTTCCTTGGGAATCCCGCCTTTATAATTTCTTATAAAAGGATCTCAGCATCATGTCTGGTTTTGTTCTTAAAATATAATCTGGCATATTTGTAGATGCAGTTGAAGATCTAACCATGGCAATTATCTCCACTGTGGAAGCATGGCAGGCACTGCATCTAAAGCATTTGCTCAGCATCCAAATAAACAAATAAGGAAACTCATATTTGATTCTAAGTTTGCTTAGAGTCAATCAGTGGGAGTTTCTTTTCTTTTCTTTTTTCTTTTTTAAATAACCAAGTAGGCTTCAAGTCTCAATATTGTGATCATGCAATGGGATTTTGGCCTGCATCAATAGGAGCATAGTGTCTAGAGCTAGGGAAGTAATGCTACCCCTCTATTCCGCTTTGGTTAGACCACACCTGGAATATTGTGTCCAATTCTGGGCACCACAATTCAAGAGAGATATTGACAAGCTGGAATGTGTCCAGAGGAGGGCGACTAAAATGATCAAGGGTCTGGAGAATAAGCCCTATGAAGAGCGGCTTAAGGAGCTGGGCATGTTTAGCCTGCAGAAGAGAAGGCTGAGAGGAGACACAATAGCCTTGTATAAATATGTGAGAAGAAGTAATAGGGAGGGGGGAGCGAACTTGTTTTCTGCTTCCCTGGAGAAAGACGTGGAACAATGGCTTCAAACTACAAGAGAGGAGATTCCATCTGAACATAAGGAAGAACTTCCTGACTGTGAGAGCCGTTCAGCAGTGGAACTCTCTGCCCCGGAGTGTGGTGGAGGCTCCTTCTTTGGAAGCTTTTAAACAGAGGCTGGATGGCCATCTGTCGGGGGTGATTTGAATGCAATATTCCTGCTTCTTGGCAGAATGGGGTTGGACTGGATGGCACATGAGGTCTCTTTCAACTCTATGATTTTATAATTCTATGATTCTCCAGCAAACCGTGCTGATGATTCACCAAACTACAACTTCCAGGATTCCAAAGCATTGAGTCATTGCAGCTAAAGTGACGGCAAACTCCATTTATTCTGGAACGCCCTTCCAAGGGAAATAAGACTGGCCCCATCCCTCCCCTCCTTTTGTAAGAGCTTGAAGACGTGGTGGTTTCAACAAGCCTTTGAGATTGACCAGTTCTAGCCCAGCCCCAAACATTGTTGAATATGGCCTTATACTTCCTACCTATTACCCCGGTCATCCCTCTAATAGGCCCTGGAAATGAGCAGCCACAGACCTGTACCTGCTATTGCTGTTAGCCTGTTATAGCACTGTTTAGTGTCTAGATCCAGGGAAGTCATGCTGCCCCTCTATTCTGCCTTTGTCAGACCACATCTGGAATACTGTGTCCAATTCTGGGCACCACAATTGAAGAGAGATATTGACAAGCTGGAATGTGTCCAGAGGAGGGCGACTAAAATGATCAAGGGTCTGGAGAACAAGCCCTATGAGGAACAGCTTAAAGAGCTGGGCATATTTAACCTGAAGAAGAGAAGGCTGAGAGGAGACACGATAGCCTTGTATAAATATGTGAAAGGAAGTAATAGGGAGGAGGGAGCGAACTTGTTTTCTTCTGCCCTGGAGACTAGGACACGGATCAATGGCTTCAAACTACAAGAAAGAAGATTCCATCTGATCATTACGAAGAACTTCCTGACTGTGAGAGCCATTCAGCAGTGGAACTCTCTGCCCCGGACAGGGGCGGCTCAACCCATTACGCAAAGTAAGCATTTGCAGTATAGTTGATTTTGCCCAGGGGCGCTCTTGAGGCGCTCTTGGGGGGAAATAGACCTTGACATATGCGAGTTGTAGTTACTGGTATGTATAGTTCACCTAAAATCAAAGAGCATTCTGAACTCCACCAATGATGGAATTGAACCAAATATGGCACACAGAACTCCCACGACGAACAGAAAATATATATCAGTGATTGGTTGGGGGAGGGGGCAAAATACTGTTTGCTTACCATTGAAAATTACCTAGGGCCACCTCTGGCCCCGGAGTGTGGTGGAGGCTCCTTCTTTGGAGGCTTTTAAACAAAGGCTGGATGGCCATCTGTCAGGGGTGCTTTGAATGCAATTTTCCTGCTTCTTGGCAGGGGGTTGGACTGGATGGCCCATCAGGTCTCTTCCAACTCTAGGATTCTATACTAGCCATCCCCAGCCACACGTTGCTGTGGCCCAGTCTGTGTAAATGTGTTTCGTGTGTGTATATGTGTATATGTGTGTGTATATTTGTGTATATATGTGTGTTTGTGTGTATATGTGTGTGTGTGTGGTTTTGCACATGTGCTGTAGAATCTTTTCTCATTTTTTGGCATTTTAAGTACCTTCTGCTATGTTTTTCAGTGTTTATATGAGTGATGGTCATTCGTTGGTGTCTTGTGTCTAAATTTGGTGTCAATTCATCCAATGGTTTTTAAGTTATGTTAATCCCACAAACAAACATTACATTGGGTTGTCTGACATGGTGGTTGTGAGAGTGGTCCAGGAGACAAAGGGACCACCAAACGCAGCATTGCCCAAACACGAATCAAGGAACATGAAAGGCACTGCAGACTACTTCAACCAGAGAAATCAGCCATAGCAGAGCACCGATGAACCAACCTGGACACAGCATTTTATTTGAGAACACAGAAATGCTGGACCACTCTCACAACCACCATGTCAGACTATACAGAGAAGCTGGATGGCCATCTGTCAGGGGTGATTTGAATGCAATATTCCTGCTTCTTGGCAGGGGGTTGGACTGGATGGCCCATGAGGTCTCTTCCAACTCTATGATTCTATGATTCTATGATTCTATGTCAGACTACACAGAGAAGCCACTGAAATACACAAGCATATAGACAATTTTAACAGAAAGGAGGAAACCATGAAAATGAGCAAAATCTGGCTACCAGTATTAAAAAACTCTAAAATTACAACAGCAAAACAACAGAGAGGAAACAATCTGGGACATCTAATCACCTCTCAACAAAAGATTGCTCCAGGCACAGTCAGGCCATTAAATGCTAATCAAGGTGGTCAGTTGAAACATTCACACCTAGCACCAGCAGACAAGAGTCCTTTGTCCCACCCTGGTCATTCCACAGATATATAAACCCTTTTTTCCTAGTTCCAACAGACCTCACTACCTCTGAGGATGCTTGCCATAGATGCAGGCGAAACGTCAGGAGAGAATGCCTCTAGAACATGGCCATATAGCCCGAAAAAACCTACAACAACCCAGTGATTCTGGCCATGAAAGCCTTCGACAATACATTAAACATTACGTATTTATTTATATAGATAGGGCTGTGTGCAAGGGCCCTCAGAACACCCAGTTCAAAACAGATATTGTGGGGTTTTCTGCCCAGATATTCTGGGATATAGGGCTGTGTGGAAGGGCCCAAAAGCTGCCCCTGCCTTCCAAGATGGGCTTTTCTGTGGAGAGGAGGAGGAGGAGAGGAGGGGACCCGGTGGCTAAGCGTGGAAGAGGAATGTGTCTGCGTGGGCAGCCTTGTGTGGGGTTGGTGCTGGCCCAGCCCTTTCCTTGGAGCCATTGATGCTTCCATTGCCTCCTGGAGGGTGAAGGCCTGCTTGGCTTTGGGTGCTGCTGCTGTAACTGCTTTGGCGAGGCTGGCTCCTCCCCCCTGGCCGGGATAGCTCCGCCCCCTCCCTCTCCCCCTCCCTCCAGCCGCTCCGGCAAGAGCAGCAGCAGCAGGAGCAGCTGGCCGGCTGTCCTCCCTCCTTCTGGGCCCGCCATGGCTGGAGCAGGGGCTGCCGCCTCCTGCTCCCCGCCGCCACCAGTGCCTCACATGCCCCTGACCAGGGAGGTGGCCCAGGAGGAGGAGGAAGAGGAAGAGGAGGAGGAGGAGGAGGAAGACCCCCCACCCGGGGCCCTGGTGCCACGCTCCTCCCCGGTGCCCAGGCCTGGGGGCAGCAGCTCCTCCTCTGAGGAAGAAGAAGGAGGAGGAGGAGGAGGAGGGGAAGGAGAAGAGCACCCTCAGCATCCTTGCTTGGCCAGGCCCCTTTCCCAGCAGCCCCCAGGCCTCCCTGGACCACTCTCCCCTCAGGATGGGCCAGACCCGCCCTCCCAGGATGCCCTTCCCGCCAACCAGCCCTTGCCACACACCCCTGGCCGGCACGTGCTCTTTGCCGACGCCTTGGGCCTGCCCTTGGCCCGCTGTCGCCGCTACCAACCCTGGCCGCCCCCCTCGCCCGACTCACCCCCTGAGGTGGTGCCCCCTGACCAAGCACCCCTCTCCACAGCTGCCCCCTACCTCTTGCCCGCTTTCGTGTTGCAACCGGCCGGGCAAGGTGAGCCAGAGCGGCTGGAGCGTCTTCAGGAGGCCAAGGTTGAACTAGAAGAGGTCCTGCCCCCAGATCCCGGGGAGCCCCGGGTGCTGCGGGGCACCGTGCGGGTACTCAACATCTCTTACCACAAGGCGGTGCACCTTCGGGCCAGCCGGGACCGCTGGCAGAGTCACCGGGACTACCCGGCCCTCTACATCCAAGGGGGCTCTCCGGACGGGGGGTTGACCGACCGCTTTGCTTTCCGCCTGGACTTTGGGGACGAAGAGGAAGAGGAGGACGATGAAGATGGGGCCCGCCTCGATTTTGTGGTGCGGTACCAAACCGACGAAGGGGTCTACTGGGCCAACAACCAGGGCAGGAATTACAGCGTGTTCCTGAAGGGCACGGCACCTTCCCAGTGTCTGCCCAAGAGATCGGGCAAAGACGTGGAATCACGCCAGCTCAAGAGCTGCATGAGGCCAGTCAAGACCAGGTAACGCTTCCCATCCAGTGCCCTGCCTACCTCAGGCTAAAAATGACGCATCTGTGAGCACTGTCTCGCTCAGGACTCTGCTCCATGCCTCCCTAGCCAACCCAGTCCGTACCACTTGCCTCTCCGAAAGGAGAAGATGCGTGTCCAAGATGCCCCGTCCCTTCTCCATGTGCCTTGATCACTAAGGGCCCTTCCACACCACCGTATAACTCGGAATATCTGTGCTGGTCAATGACCAAAATAAGTGATTTGATTTGATTTGAACTCGGAATATCAAGGCGGATAATCCACAATATCGGCTTTGAACTGGGTTATCTGAGTCTACATATAACCCAGTTCAGTGTGGATTTTATACAGCTGTGTGGAAGGGGCCTTAATCTCTGCCCTTGCTCAGGAGAGGACGTAGGCCTAAATCCCATTGGTACTCTCGGCTGGTGTTGGCCCATTGAATCAGCTGTCTGAATGTTGTGCCAGGATTAATTCAATGGGCCTGCACCAGGTGGAACTCCCAATTAGACACAGGCTCTTCTGATAAGCAGTCTCGGCTCTCCCTTAGCTGCCATCCTGTCCAAATTACAGTCTCCTTTCTGAATAACAAGAATTTTCCTTGGGTGAGAGAGAACAGCTATAGGTTTCTCCTAATAGGGAACAGAGAAAGCGTGTCTTGTTACATTTGAGTGTTCAGATGGGCTTGGCCTTGCTTGTAGTGCAAAACGGGCATCTCAAAGTGGGAGGGCGGATCGCTGTCAGAGAAGACGTGAGCTCTTTTCTTCTTTTTTTAGAGGCAGATATCTTCTCTCAATGCCCTAGGGCAGTGGTTCTCAACCTGGGGTCCCCAGATGTTTTTGGCCTTCAATTCCCAGAAATCCTAACAGCTGGTAAACTGGCTAGGATTTCTGGGAGTTGTAGGCCAAAAACATCTGGGGACCCCAGGTTGAGAACCACTGCTCTAGGGCAACGGTTCCCAACCTTAGGTCCTCCAGGTGTTTTGGACTTCAGTTCCAACAATTCCTAACAGCTGGTAAGATGGTTGAGAGGACCAAAGTGGGAACCACTGCCTTAGGGCATCTAGGACACAACATCAAAAGCACTTATTTATTATTTATTTATTTAAAACCCTAGCCGTCCCCTGCTTCGCGTTGCTGTGGCCCACATGGGGGTTCTGTGTGGGAGGTTTGGCCCAATTCTATTGTTGGTAGGCTTCAGAATGCTCTGTGATTGTAGGTGAACTATAAATCCCAGCAACTACAACTCCCAAATGTCAAAATTCTATTTTCCCAAACTCCACCAGTGTTCATATTTGGGCATATTGAGTATTCATGTAGAGTTTGGTCTAGATCCATCATTGTTTGAGTCCACAGTGATCTCTGGATGTAGGTGAACTACAACTCCAAAACAAAAGAACACAGCCCACCAAACCCTTCCCGTATTTTCTGTTGGTCATGGGACTTCTGTGTGTCAAGTTTAGTTCAATTCCATCATTGGTGGAGTTCAGAATGCTCTTTGATTGTAGGTGAACTATAAATCCCAGCAACTACAACTCCCAAATGACGTAATCAATTTTTTTGAGTGAAGGACATACATTGGGTTGTTAGGTGTCTTGTGACCAAAATTGGTGTCAATTCGTCCAGTGGTTTTTGAGTTCTGTTAATCCCACAAACGAACATTACATTTTTATTTATATAGATTTATATTCTGCCCTTCTCACCCCGAAGGGGACTCAGGGCTGAGCACAGCATATACACGGCAAACATTCGATGCCGGGACACAGATTCACATACACATACATAAATATTTTTTAAAAAATCAAAATATTAAAATACACCATTTAAAACCGACCTAATCATCCGCGTCAAATCATAGGCCTGGTCATCTTTCCTATTGCTGCGTTATTGCCCTGTCCCGAAAGTTTGGTCCCACAGCCAAGTTTTTACCATCCTCCTAAAGGACAGGAGAGAGGGGGCCGACCTGATCTCACCAGGAAGGGAGCTCCATAGCCGGGGAGCAATCACCGAGAAGGCCCTGTCTCTCGTCCCCACCAATCTTTCCGGAGCCCCCGGTGACACAGTGGATTAAACCCCTGTGCTGGCAGTACTGAAGACCAACAGGTCGCAGGTTCGAACCTGGGGAGAGGCGGATGAGCTCCCTCTATCAGCTCCAGCTCTCCATGCAGGGGCATGAGAGAAGCCTCCCACAAGGATGGCAAAACATCAAAACATCCGGGTGTCCCCTGGGCAACGTTTCTCAAGTCGCTTCTGATACTACCAAAAAAAAAACCCCAATCGTGCCTGTGATAATGGCGGGACGGAAAGCAGGGCCTCCCCGGAGGATCTTAATCTCCGCGATGGTACATAGGCTTATGAGCTTGTTGTGTAGGCCAATTTAAGACAAAAACTAACATTTTAGCTCAGGAATGGGGAACTTGTGCCCCTCAAGATGTTAAGGACTTGAGTATCTCAAAAAATACCAGACTGCTTGGCAAGTGATAAGGAATTATGCGAGGTCTAGAACATCTGGAAGGCCAAGGATTCCTCGTCTTCAGCTAATGGTGGCTTTTGCCCAAATTATAGAAAAGAATAATCTTTTCATGAGACAAACACAGTTTCTGCACATACAGATCAGGCATAGATGTTGTGCAGCCTTCTTTAAATGTCTGTTCAGCTTGGAAACTGGCTGGCCTGCATTTCTCGCGACTGAGCTCCCACTTAACTGGTAAACCTGAGTCTGGATTTGACCACTACACTGTCAAGGTGGAAGCTTATCTGAGCTGCTGCTTCCTCACTATTTATTTCCTACCTACATTTTGTGCATTTGGCCATACCTCTAAATCTGTCTGAGGCAATAGGCCTCACCTTCTTCCTTTCCTTTTGTTTATTTGATGGGTTTATATCTCAGCTTTCTCCTAATACTAGGAATCTGGGTTGCTCACGAGAAGAATCAAAACAGGCAGCTCAAAAGATGTAATGTTAAAAGATAATTAGGAGAAGGGTTTTCTTAGAACCTATAGGATGAACACAGCCTGAAAGCAGCCATGAGAAAGACCCTAACCAAATTTGGAGATACTGTAAAGGGGGAGTAAAGGGACAATTATTTGGCTGATTAGCATTTTTTTTCTCACCGTAGGAAGGATACTGTTTGAATGTTGCTATAGAAAATATCAATGTCTGTACAGCAGGTGAATTTGTGATGTAAACTGTAGTCTTCAGTATGTTATGGGAAAGCAAGCCTGCGTGTACCAAGTCAGAGAGCCAAAACAAGTGCTACCTCATTTTCTTAAGCACAGTGATAAAATGGACCATGACATAGGGCCCTTCCACACAGCCCTCGTATATCCCAGAATATCAAGGCAAAAAATCCCATATTATCTGAGTGTGGACTCAGATAACCCAATTCAAAGCAGATAATGTTGGATTTTCTGCCTTGATATCCTGGGATATAGGGCTGTGTGGAAGGGCCCATAGCAACAACCACAAATACTGTAGTGATTTATAAACAGACTAGTTTTCTCGATGTTCAGTGACAGGCCGAGCTTTTCGTATGCTTCTGCGAAGGTGTTGAGAGTGGTTTGTAGGTCTTCTTCTGAATGTGCACAGACAACGTTGTCATCAGCATATTGGTTGCTGTGGCCCAGTCTGTGTATATGTGTTTTCTGTGTCTATATGTGTGTTTGCATATATATATATATATATATATATATATATATATATATGTGATTATTCACATGCATTGCAGTGTATTTTTTATCTTTTGGCTTTTTAAGTCGCTTCTGCTGTGTTTTTCAGTGTTTTTATTAGTGATGGTCACTTGTTGACCTAATATGTATCTTGTATCCAAATTTGGTGTCAATTTGTCCAGTGGTTTTTGAATTGTGTTAATCCCACAAACAAACATTACTTTTTTATTTATATACACTAGCCATCCCCTGCCACGCATTGCTGTGGCCCTCATGGGAGTTCTGTGTGGGAGGTTTGGGCCAATTCTATTGTTGGTGGGGTTCAGAATGCTCTGTGATTATAGGTGAACTATAAATCCCAGTAACTACAACTCCCAAATTTCAAGATTCTATTTCCCCCAAACTCCACCAGTGTTCATATTTGGGCATACTGAGTATTCATGTAGAGTTTGGTACAGATCCATCATTGAGTCCACAGGGATATCTGGATGTATGTGAACTACAACCCCAAAATCGAAGGACACCCTTCCAGTATTTTCTGTTGGTCATGGAAGAACTGTGTGCCAAGTTTGGTTCAATTCCATCGTTAGTGGGGTTCAGAATGCTCTCTGATTGTAGGGGAACTATATATCCCAGAAACTACCACTCCCAAATGTCAAGATTCTATTTTCCCCAAACTCCATCAGTATTCACTTTTGGGCATATCGAGTATTCATGTAGAGTTTGGTCTGGATCCATCATTGTTTGAGTCCACAGTGATCTCGGGATGTAGGTGAACTACAACTCCAAAACCAAAGGACACCCTTCCAGTATTTTCTGTCGGTCATGGGAGTTCTGTGTGCCAAGTTTGGTTCAATTCCATCATTGATGTTCAGAATGCTCTTTGATTGTAGGTGAACTATAAATCCCAGCAACTACAACTCCCAAATGACAAAATCATTTTTTTTAGTGAAGGACATACATTGGGTTGTTAGGTGTCTTGTGTCCAAATTTGGTGTCAATTCGTCCAGTGGTTTTTGAGTTATGTTAATCCCACAAACGAACATAACATTTTTATTTATATAGACTAGCCATGCCCTGCCACGCATTGCTGTGGCCCAGTGTTTTGAGTGTATATATATTTGTGTATATGTTTATATATGTGTTTGTGTATATATATGTGGTTTTGCGCAAGTGTTGTAATGTAATTTTTGTTTTTGGCTTTTTAAGTCCCTTCGACTGTGTTTTTCTGTGTTTTTCTGAGTGATGGCCACTCATTGGTCTGATAGATGCGTTGTGTCCAACTTTGGTGTCAATTCATCCAGTGGTTTTTGAATTGTGTTAATCC